AAATTTATACCAATTGATTACAGTTATTTTTGAGAGCAAGAAAAAAAAGCAGAGGAAAATTGTTTTGTGCAAATGCAGAAATTAACTTTGATTTTTTTATTTTCAAATCTTCACGACAAATCTGCATTTGGAAACACACCTTAACTTCTAAGTGACAATTCATTAAGTTGTTGGCAAGTTTTGGTGTCCACCAGAAAACGGTATTTAAAACAAAAAAAAAAGATTTGTTGCTCAACAGACTACTGGTAATTGGATACTTCATCTTTAAGACTATCAATTACAAGTGTTTTTGTCTTCAGCAAAACATCATACAACAGTCAAATATCTAGGATAGAATTTTTTTAACAATTAAAGTTGTCGCTTATTGCAGTGGTTTTGATGGGTATATCAGTCTGTTGTACACCGTTAACAATGGACGATATTCAGTGCACCGGAACGATGCTTTTACATTCAGCTCAATGCAGGTAAATTTATTTAACGTTCAGCTAAATAGCATACAGTAAATCAGCTTTTATTCCAACTATGTTTTTAGTCGTATTATTTAACGATCTGTTATCAGATTTTTTGCTCAACTCAATTCACAGAATCAATGATTTCTTTAAAAATACTTAAGTTTAGTAAACTGTTTCAAGTAAAGCGATTTTGCTAATAATAACACTGATCGCTACTTATCTGTTTCAGTGAATTTGTTAAGCTTATAGCCAAAGTAAAGATTCAAATGAGTTACACCAAGAAAAAAAATTTAGCTATTAAACAAATATTTGGTGTTTACAGTCTTTTTACTGGGTAGTTACCGTTTAACAACTTCAATTTCTTTGGCAGCTTTGATATCCTTAACTGCAGACATTTTTTTTTTTTCAAACCCATATCAGTTTTCCTCATATAGAAAACAATTTATTAGCTTTTAAATATAGATATATATATTTACCAATAATATTTGAATGAAAAGAAATATTCTTAGATTTTTTTTCTGCATGAATAAATAGCAAATGTTTGAAATAATTTGAGATTAAGTAGGTTTTTGTTGTCATTGTTGTTCGTTCTGCTATATTGCAGTTTGTAGATTGAAACATCGCTTCCAAAATCATACGACAATTTTTCATTCCATTTTCTTTCGACCAAACAGACTGTAAAAATGTTACCAAAAGGCATTTACACTTATTTAGACATTCTTTTTTCTTTTTATTTATTTTTTTTATTTTTAATGCTTTTATCATTTGTCTAAAAAAAAGGGTAATTGAGTAAGCGTCATATTTATTGTTGTTGACATAAGAACGCAAAACCATTAAACTATAAGCACTTTCAAAATCAAAAATTAAAGCACAACTCCTTTGCGTCTGCCGAACATAAACCTACTGTAGAAGTTACTTAGATGAATAAATTGAAAAACTATCAAGAATCTTGACGTACTAGCCCGCATACAGCCATAGAATCATTTATCTAATTTATTTGTAATGCTTATGACTATAACAATTATCGGCATTCCGCAGCAAATAATAGCGGTGCTAAAGGCCAAAAAAATTTTCCTGACTCTTCATTGTACTAAAAAAGGCCACTGACAGTACTTTATAGCCTTTTTTCTTT